AGCTTTTCCATACTGGGACCTGACGCTGTTCCCGATGGAAGCACCATCAGGCAGTCAGGTCCAGGCACTATCAAGGCTGGATGCTCCCAGGGGCTGAAATGCCTGAAGGAATATGGGATGTGGAGTCACCCATCAACCCCACCTCAGACAGTTTCAACAGGCAGAGCAAGTGTGACACCTCAGAAGTGTCCCACGAGGGACACCACAAGCTGCTGCTCCAGCTCCTCCTGGCTCTGGCTGAAGCCTCCAGAGAAACCTGATTTTGGCTCCCCAGCTTCCCAAGCAGGGTGCTGGAAGCAGAGGCAGCAGATGACGTGGGGAGGAGTCCTCTGTGTGCCACAGAGACTCACCCAAAGCAGATGTGAAGCTGAACTGGACCTACTGGACCCCACGTTGTTCTCCGGCCGCTGCGGTGGAAGCGGAGGGGGGATGGATGAATTCCAGGCCAACCACTTCCATGAGGAGGAGAGCCCTGTGCTTGCTCACCTGGGCACGGAAAGGGCTGCTCGTCTTTCACATCAACGACCTTTCCTCTGAGCTGCTCCCACTCGGCATCTCCCGTGGGATGTCTGTCCGTGTGCCTGGGAGAGGAGGAGCCGCAGGATGTGGGCACTGAGCGTAGAGAAATCACGACTGCACTCCGGGGACGTTCGGGAGCTCCGGAGCTGCTTAATCAACACTGCCACGGCACTGTTTGTTTTATTCATAATACACTCTGGCTGCTGCTCAGGAATCACTCCTGCATCCGGCAGGGATGGGCCTCGGCTCCACCGGATGCAGGGGCTGGGAGGCCTCAAGGTGCCTCATGGCGTTGGGCGATAAACCGGGTGAAGAAGCACATCGTCATTCCAGGTGGAAGCACGCCAAGGGATGCTCCGCTCCCGCCCGGTGGAAAACGTCCAACCCATTCCAGGCAGCCTCTCTCACGGCTCTTTTCTTTCACGGGTGGTTTTTGTTTTTTTGCTTCATGGAAAGGGTTGTCAAGCACTGGAAGGGGCTGCCCAGGGAGGTTTGGAGTCCCCACCCCTGGAGGTGTCCGAGGAACGGCTGGACGTGGCACTCAGTGCTCTGGGGGTGATCGCTCACGGGTTGGACTCGATGACCTTGGAGGTCTTTTTTTCAACCAAAGTGTTTGGGGGATTCTGTTTTCCAGCTGTTCCCAGAGCAGAGCCCGAACCTGGAGCAGCTGCACGGCTGACACAGGTCTCTATCAAACAGGCATTAACGTGAAATATGGCGAAACTAATTAACATCCTTTAATTGAAATTGAGCCTGCCAAAGGAGCCCAAACAAAAATGGTGGCATCCTTTGCAATTATTGGAAAACTTGTTATAAATGCCCCTCGGATAGATGTCGGCTCCGGAGATATTTGGAATTAATAACTCCTTAACGATCCAAAACTGACTGTGCTGCGGGATCAATGTGGCAGATGGGACCTGGACTTGGGAGGGTGTGATTGATGCTTCCCCAGCGCTGCTCCAAAGAGGAGCTGTGGGAATGTGGGGCTGCTCCTTGGATCTTTGGGTCACCCGTGTGAGGACCAGCTGTTGGTCCAGCAGCAGCGTTTCCCAGACTCAGGTGGAATGGGATGCTGGGAACAGCGTCGGTGCCACGGCGAGGGCAGGGCAGATGTGGGGACAGGAGCTTGGAGAAGGGAAATGGCTGGAGAGGGATCCTGCCCGCTGACACGAGGGTCTGTGTGGGTCCCCACGGCTCTGAGCGGTGCTGGAGGGGCTCAGGGCCTGGCACTGCAGTGATCCCACCGTGTGCCAGCTGCTCTTGTGTGGGTCCCTTCCTGCCTGGAGAGTGAGTGCCAGGCCCTGGCTGATGTGAGCCCTGGCTGATGTGAGCAGCAGGGTTCACATCCCCTGTGGGGTGCAGGGCTGGGGTGAGCAGCAGCAGGGTGAGGTCGTGGGTTGGTGTGAGTGGCAGTGGGACACAGGGTTGGTGTGGGTGGCAGCAGGGCACAGGGCTCGGTTTGGTGTGACAGAGGGGCATAGGGTGGGTGTGAGCAGCAGTGGAGGACTGGGTGTGGGTTGGTGTGAGCTGCAGTGGGGCACTGGGTCAGTCTGAGTCCCATCAAGGCGCTGGGTGCAGCTTGGCACGAGCGACAGCGGGGCATGGGGTTGGCATGGATGGCAGCGGGGCACAGAGTGGGGAACAGTGTGAGGTGGTGTGAGCAGCAGTGGGGAGCAGGGTTGGTGTGGGTGGCAGTGGGGCACAGGGTGCAGTGGGGTGAGGGTGTGGGTTGGTGTGAGTGGAGCAGGGTGCAGGGCAGCAGTGGGGTCAGGGTGCAGGGCAGCAGCAAGGTCAGGGTGCAGGGCAGCAGCAGGGTGCAGGCTGTGGGTTGGTGTGAGTGGAGCAGGGTGCAGGGCAGCAGCAGGGGCAGGGTGCAGGGCAGCAGCGGGGTGCAGGTTGTGGGTTGGTGTCAGTGGAGCAGGGTGCAGGGCAGCAGCAGGGTGCAGGCTGTGGGTTGGTGGGAGTGGAGCAGGGTGCAGGGCAGCAGCGGGGTGCAGGCTGTGGGTTGGTGTGAGTGGAGCAGGGTGCAGGGCAGCAGCGGGGTCAGGGTGCAGGGCAGCAGCGGGGTCAGGGTGCAGGGCAGCAGCGGGGTGCAGGCTGTGGGTTGGTGTGAGTGGCAGCGGGGCACAGGGTTGGCACGAGCAGCAGTGGGGTGAGAATGCAGGTTGGAGTGGAAGCAGAGGGCTGGGTGCAGGCTGGCACGAGCAGCAGGGGGGCACAGAGTGCACGTTGGTGTGAGAGGCCGTGGGGCACAGGGGCGGTGTGAGTGGCAGGGGGGTGCAGGGTGTGGGGCACCGTGAATGGCAGAGGGGCGCAGGGTTGGCACAAGCAGCAGCGGGGCACAGAGTGCAGGCTGGCAGGAGTGGCAGTGGGCACAGAGTGGGGTGAGGGTGCGGGCTGGTGAGTGGGAGCAGGGTGGGTGTGAGTGGCTGTGGGGCACAGGGCAGCACTGGGGTGCTGGGTGCAGGCTGGCACGGGTGGCAGCGGGCACAGAGTGGGCGCTGGCACGGGTGGCAGCGGGCACAGGGTCGGTGTGAGCGGCAGCGGGACGGGGATGACGGCGGTGCCGCTCCGAGCGAACATTCCCGGGAGCCGCCCGCGATTCCTCCGGTTCCGCGCGCTGCTCGTGACTGTTGCTAAAAACATAAAGGGGCCTTTTGGAGAGCTGAGCTGGGCTTTCATATCTCTGCATTGACTCAAAATGCTGCCGAAGTGACATTTAGAAGCATTGTAAGCAAAGGGGAGCTATTTATTCCTGATTAAGTGGTTTTTCCCTCGAGGACAGCAGTGCAGCGCCGAGGCTGAGGCAGGCGGGGGACCCACCGTGACTGTCCTGGTGACAGTCCCGCCAGCTGAGGTTGTGCCTGGGGATGGGAAGTTTGTGGAGAGGGTTTGGGGTTGCCAGGAGGGGAAGTCGTGCTGCTCCTGTTGGATTTTGGCGTTGGGTCGCCCTTCCCGGCTCTCTGATGGTCTCCATGTGGGGGGGTGTGTGGGGGGGTGTCCGCTGGCAGCGAGTGCTCCCGGGGGAAGCTCAGTCCCATTCCGAGGGACGCCGTCCCCTCTCCCACTCCCTCCTCCCATGCCGCTCTCCAAGGAGCCTGTAACCCCTTGGCGCGATGGTCAGTTTAGGGCACAGCTCTTTCAGGCTGCACCGTGCAGGGTCTGCGGGGTCCCACCCCACTGCACCCTCGGGGGGTGGGGGCAGCCCCAGGGGGGCCCCACCAGAACGACAACGGGGGGGCTGCGGGGCGAGGATGTGCGAACCCAACCGGGGTGGGAGTGTAGACTGGGGGGCTTGGGGGGGAGACAAGGAGCTGGATGTGCCAACACAGATCTGGGGGGACAAACAACGGCTGCAGAGGCAGGACTAGGGAGGGAGGGACCAGGAGGCTGCGGCCGGTGCCGAGCCCCGCGAGTGCGGGGGCTGCGAGCGGCGCCGTTGCGGTGGCGGCGCTGGCAGCTGCGGGGGGCTGCGGGGACCCCCCGCCCCGGGCACTGCCGCTGTGAGAGCGCACCGCGGGCACCCCCAGCCCCGAGGGCGGGAGCCGGGCAACCCCCGCCCGCGAATCTCTGCAAGCCCGGCACCGCCCCCCGCACACTGCCGGGAGCGGGGCATCGCCCCCCTAAAACTGCCCCTCCCGCCCACTGCCTGACCGGGCTACCCCCTCAAAACTGCCCCTCCCGCACACTGGGCATCGCCCCCAGACTGCCCCCGCACACTCCTCCGCTGACCCGTCCCCTCCGCAATTGCCTGGCCGGGCTGTCCCCGCAAACACTCCCCACACCGACCCTCCCGAAACTGCCTTTCCGCACTCCTCCCCACTGACCTGCCCCCAAAACATCCTCCCGCACATCGCCTGGCCGGGCTACCATCCCTGCCCCCAAAACATCCCCCCGCGCATTGCCTGACCGGACCACCCTCTAACTGTCCCCCGCACGCTCCCCGCCCCGCACGCTGCTCCCCCGGGACCTCCCCGCTCCCGTCCCATGCTGTGCCCCGCGTCCCGCCCCCCGGGGCAGCGCCGGGCGGTGCCAGCAGCGGGGCCGTGCGGGCCCGCCGGCTGCGGGTCGGGGCGGGGGCGGCGGCGGCGGCGGCGGCGCTGGCGGGGGCGGGGGGCGCTGGCGGGGCGGCCGGTCCGGCGCCGTCCCCGCCCGCCGGGGAGGAGCCGGCGGCGCCGGCACCACCTGCCCCGGGCCATGGTGCGCCGGAGGGAGCGGAGCGCGGCGCGGGGCGGGCGGCGCCGCGCCATGGAGCGGGCGGCGGGCGGCGGCCGCCCGCAGCCCGTGCCCGTCCAGCCGGAGCCGCAGCCGGAGCCGCTGCCCGCGCCCGGGCGGTGCCGCCGCCGCCGCCGCGCCGGCCGGGGCTGCGCTGAGCCCCCCGCACCCCGCGCCGGCCCCGCCATGGCGCAGCCCGCGGGCCGCGGCGGGACGAGCCGCGAGCTGCCGGGCATCAGCACCGTAACCTACGTGTTCGTTTACAGCCCCGGCGGCCCGGCCGGGCCCCCCGGCCCCGGAGCCGAGCCCGCGCCGCACGCCGCGCCCGCCCCGCTGCGCGGGCCCAAGCGGAAGCTGTACAGCGCCGTGCCCGGCCGCAAGTTCATCGTGGTGAAGAGCTACGCGCCGCAGGGCGAGGGCGAGATCCAGCTCAACCGCGGAGAAGCCGTCAAGGGTGAGCGAGCGAGGCAGGGAGGGAGGGAGGGAGGGAGGGAGAGCGGGCGGGGCGCGGGGCGGGCGGCGGGGCGGCACCGCCACCGGGCGGGGGTCCCGCGCTGCTCCGGGGGTCCCGCGCCCTGCGGCGCGGGATGCGCTGGACGTGGCCACGGTGTTCCCCAGCCCGGCGAGGGGGTCCCCGGCCCGGGGTCCCGCGGCACTGGCTGCGGGCTCTGGTAGGGGTTCCTGCACTGGCTATGCTGGCAGTGGTTATGGGGGTCCCCAGCCCGGCTGGGGGGCTCCAGAGCCTGTGGGGGTCCCCAGCCCGCCTGGAGGGTCCGCAGCCCAGAGTCCCGCGGCACCGGCTGCAGGCTCCGGGCAGGGGTCTCCCTCTGGCTGCAGCACTGGGTGCCCTGGCCATGGTGCTGAAAGGCTGTGAGATCCCCAGCCTGGTTGCGGGGATGGCAGAGCCTCGGGATCCCCAGGCTGGCCGTGGGGCTGCAGGGCTGTGGGGTCCCCAGTCCCGGTCCCATGGCACCAGCAGCAGGCTCCAGGTGGGGGTCCTGCACTGGCTGCCCTAACTGTGGTTGTGGGGGTCCCCAAACTGGTTGGGTGGCTGCAGGGCCATGGGGTCCCCAGTCATCCTCAGCCCAGGTCCTGCTCAGCCCACGGGTTGGGGGTCAAAAGCAAGGGCTGCCCCACCTGGGTGATCCCCAGCCCGGCTGTGGGGCTGTGGGGCTATGGGATCCCCAGCCCGGTTGTGGGGCTGCAGGGCTGTGGGATCCCCAGCCCGGTTGTGGGGCTGCAGGGCTGTGGGATCCCCAGCCCGGTTGTGGGGCTGCAGGGCTGTGGGATCCCCAGCCCGGTTAGGGGCTGCAGGGCTGTGGGATCCCCAGCCCGGTTGTGGGGCTGCAGGGCTGTGGGATCCCCAGCCCGGTTGTGGGGCTGCAGGGCTGTGGGATCCCCAGCCCGGTTGTGGGCTGCAGGGCTGTGGGATCCCCAGCCCGGTTGTGAGGCTGCAGGGCTGTGGGATCCCCAGCCCGGTTGTGGGGCTGCAGGGCTGTGGGATCCCCAGCCCGGTTGTGGGGCTGCAGGGCTGTGGGATCCCCAGCCCGGTTGTGGGGCTGCAGGGCTGTGGGATCCCCAGCCCGGTTGTGGGGCTGCAGGGCTGTGGGATCCCCAGCCCGGTTGTGGGGCTGCAGGGCTGTGGGATCCCCAGTCCAGTTGTGGGGCTGCAGGGCTGTGGGATCCCCAGCCCTGGGTGTTTCAGCCAGGCCGTGGGGGGCTGCTCAGGCCCTGTGGTGCCCTGTCCATCCCCGGGGTGTGCCCGTGGCTCTCTGGTGTGGCCGTGGGTAGCTGTTCCCACCTGTGACACGGGTGCCTGGCTCTCTGGGGAGCCCCAGAGGTGCTGGTGTCTCTCCGACCCCTCTCCCCCATCCTGGGGCTGGCAGTGCCCGGTGCCCTGCCCTGGGCCACTGCAGGGTCCCTGGTGCCAGCCCACCTCGTGCTGGGGCCGGGAGCAGCGAGGGGGTGGTGGGCACAGCAGCTCTTCCCAAGAGAGCTTCCAGCCCCAGCTTCCAGCGCCGGGAGCCGGGAGGCTTAGAGGGATAACAGCAGTGCCTGTTGTGTTGGACAGGCTCCTGAAAGCCATGTAAAGCCTGCGGTGGGTCGTAAGTCAGCTTCCAGCAGGCAGGGATAACAAAAGGCTCCCTCTGCAAGCCTCCTAATTCCACAGTTTTTTCACAGAAAGTTTAAGGATCTTCTTTTCATCTTGCTGCCTCCACTTTTTCTGCAAGATTCCTCTTGCAATGCGGGCTGGAGCAGCCGCTGAGCTGAGCTGAGCTGCGTTGGCTGTAACATGGATCTGAGCTGGGGAGAGGGAGACAGGGCTTGCTCTTCCCTGCTTGGAATTGCTGCTTCAGAACCCTCTGAGCCCTGTGCTGAGGGAGCTGACGGCTTCCCCTCGGAGGTGGTGGTCCAGCCAATCCCACTGTTGTCCCCATGGATGTGTTTTTCCCCCTGAGAGGAGGAGATGGATGAGAAGGGCCTGTGGCTGGGGCGGATTTCTGCAGTGGTGGTTGGAGTTAAGGAGTGTTTGATGTGGTGGAGCTGCGATTCGTGCAGGTGTGTGATTCCAGGAGGCTGGATGGAATGGACTCTTGCACCAGAGGTGCTTTTCCCAGCGCATTTTCCCACTGCTCCCTGTCACATCCTTCTGTGTCTCCTCATGTGTTTGCACCGAGTAGGTGGTCCTGGAGTAACTGCCACAGAATCCTGAATTGTTTGCATGCCTTCATGTGATCTCCAGGGAGAAAGCAAGCTGTGGGAGGCACTGTGGGGAGGAACAGTGGAGTGGGTCGGGCAGTGGCCCCTCAGGGCTGGAGTCTCTCCCCACTGGCTCCTTACCCTGTGGCCGAGGAGGCTGAACGAGAGCTAAAAGAGAATCCTTTCGGTGCCTCGCTGGTGGAAACTCTCCAGATTATTTGCTGCGTTGGGGAGGCTGATGGATGTTTTTGGGGCCAGGAATGTTGTCAGCCCCTGGGCAGGGTTCCCTGGGAGTCGCAGACAGGTCGAGGGGTGGGCTGAGCAGAGCCCGGCAGTCTGAGCGGAGCTGCCACCGCGGGTGCTTTGTCATGTCCAGGGCACTCGTGATGCCTTTGGAAATGGGGGGATCTGGGAGAGAGCTTCTCCCACCCGGGAAATAGAGGCTGGTGTGAGTGAAGATCCTGGACTGGGCTGGTGCTGGACTTGTGCTCTGAGCTAAGGGGGTGCCGGGGTGTCCACAGTGGGAGAGGTGTTGGGAGAGGAATCCTGGCCATGGGTGTGATTTGCCAGCCTGGGGGGGCTTCAGGGTCCTGAAAGGATGTGGGGGATGACTGAGCTGCCCGGGGATGGAGGTGTTGGGATGCTGGGGGTGGAGGGTCCTGGAGGGAGAAGGTGGCAGCTGGAGGAAGTGTTGAAGTGTGGGGTGTACAGGCAGTCTGGGGAAGGGTGGGAGATGGTGTTTGGGGGGTGCTGTCAAAGCAGTGCTGGATGAAATGGGCTGCGTTTGGGGATGTTCCAGGGCGAGAGCCCTGCGTGGAGGGAGCTCTGGGAGGGTGCGATGCCGAGGGAGAAACGTGAGATGTGAGTCTGAGTGAAGAGCTGGGGGAAGAGACCCCCCCAGGGAGGAGCAGGGGACAGGAGATGGCTGGAATGGAGGCTGGGATAGGGCTGGTGTCTCGTTCTGAGGTGTGCTGGTGAGCTGACTTGACAGCCACCCCTTTGATGTGGTGGAATCAGTGATTTCGGGGGGCTGGGGCTGCAAACAGGCACTGGCAGGGAGGGGAATGGCAGAACTTCTGGCAGTTTTCGTCTTGGGAATTGCAGAGCTGATGGAGAAGAGCTGGAGGTGGAGCAGCACGAGCCCCTCTGTGTGTGTCTGTGGATGGCCCTGTTTGCAGCTGCGGATTGGGGGAAGTTGAGGGTCCTTGAGTGTTCACTTCAGGTCCCTGGGGAGCTGCTGTTCCTTGCTGGAAGCAGATGGACTCCTGTGAAGGTTCTCCTGAGCACTGGTGTTAAACAGGGGCCCAGGTGTTGGATTTGGAGGACCAGGAGATGCTCTGTGATGGGTTTTCTCGGGCTTTTCAGGAGCTTTTCATGCAGGAGCATTTCCTGCAGCCCTGGGTCCCACGTGGAGCTGCTGTTCTTATTTGGAAGCAGATGGACTCCTGTGAAGGTTCTCCTGAGTGCTGGTGTTGAGCAGGGATCGTGGCAGTGGATTTAGAGGAGCAGGAGGTGCTGTTTGCTGGGTTTCCTTGGGGCTCTTCAGAGCAGCTGGTTTGCTTTCAAGAGCACGTGCAAGTGAAGGGTGTCTGTGTCGTCTGTGACTGTCCTGCAGCTGTTGGATGACAAAAGGCAATAATCAATAGAGTTATTTCGTTTGTAAGACAGCGAAAGAATCCCAGCAGAGGAGAGCCTGTCCTTGATCTGGTTGTGCCTGATAATGAGAAATGAAATGAGATGTGAGCGCCCCAAGCAAAGGGAGAACCAATAGTCACCAGCTCTGAAATCACAAGGTCACGGGGAGAAGTGGTTCATAGGCACAGCAAGGGCTGAATCTCCAGCCTGGAAGCCAGGGAGGAATTAGGAACACTCTGAACGGGCTGGGGTTGGAGCCTCATTTCTTTGCACTTGGCGATTAGGGGGGAGTTATTCTGGAGCAACTACTGCCTTGTGCATCCAACAGGGTTTTTCCTCGCTTTGTTGACATTCCCACTGCAGTGTCTGAGCTGGAATGACTGGTAAATTGGATTTCTGTTGGCCGTGGTGGTGGCTTTGTTGAGTTATTGCTGTGGCCGCGCTTGGCTGTGCTGGGGGTTGTTTCGATGGAAGGATTATTTTCCTGGTGAATAAAGTTCTCGCACAGAGGATGTGGCTTTTGTTGGGGAAGGCTTTGCAGCTTCTGTTTGATGAGCAGCCAGCTGGTTTCCTCTGGAATTTCTTTATCTGGCCAGAAGCACTGAGGAGCGGGGCTGGAGGATCAGGATCCCTGCGGGAAGGTTGGGAAGCCATTCACAGCTTGGAAGGTTGAGCCGAAGCTTTAAACTTAATTTAACTCTCTGTGCCTGTGGTGATCTAGAACAGCTGCCTCCTCCCCAGGCTGCTCTTCCAGCAGCATTCCCATTCCCACTGCTGCAAAAGCAGTAGGACAGGGGGTCTGGTCAGGGAGTTGAGTCCTTGACCCTGCACAGCTTCACAACCCCCACAAACTGCTCACTCTGCACCTTTAAACCCACTGATGCTTTTCCTCCTGCTATTCCAGTGGGAAGGCTGTTCTGGAACCTTCCAGACTACTGGAGGTGAAAAGTATACATATAAGTAGATATAAGTACATATAAAATATCTAGATGTATAATAAATGGAATAGAAACATACAAATATAATATAATATAGAATAATAAATATAGTAATATATCTAATAATATATAATAAATAAATATAATAAATTTATAAAATAGAGATATAACATTTTCACTT